AGGTGTTTTACGGGCGAGTGTTCTTAGACATGTTTGATGAAAATCGATTGAGCCTTTAAAAGTTACAGAGGTTTTACGCTTTAAAGTCGGGGGTTTTTTGTTTTGCCTGTCAAATAATAAACTTGTTAGGTCAACATTAAACTCTTCAGTACATAGGGGGTTGAAAAAATAATCTAGTAACTGACAGAAATATCATTAAGTTCACAATCATATTAATAACGGGATTAAACTAACGTATTGAATTTCAAAAGTCAGTAGGGGCGGCAAAAATTGGATGGCCTACCAGCGGCAAATTTGTAAATCCGCCACTGCTGATTATAATTAAGGCTTTCAAGGCGTCGGATCGAAATTGAAGAAAAGTGTGTATATTAACTTGGAAATTAACGAAAATATTGGAACTATTAATTATGTTAGGATCTTCATTATTATAGGCTGTCGTCTCAATCATTTAAATATGGATGTATACGGTATACGTTTGGTCGAGGTAATTATTTTTTAAATAATTTATATTAATGTGAGATTTGAGTCTAGAAATATGCCTGCTAGAGTTTTCAGGAGTGTTAAACATGCCATTACAGTGTTTTGAAATTCAATAGGCTGGAACCGTTACGGATAATGCGATTAGCAGAATTTTGTTCGTCGATTTATTGAAATTTGAACCATCTATTTTGCGTTTTTGTTTTTGAAAACATGTACGCTAATATACATATTGGCGTACATTTTTATCATCAGAAATCTCATTCTCTAAGTAGTTAATACTGAATAATATTTTTGACAACAACCGTTAATATTTTTTTATTCCTTATAAATATATTATATTAATAAATAGAAGGGTGGATTAGTGCCGATAATGATCTTAATTACTCAAATTTTGAGGAAGTCGTGTTGCTATTCTACGGTCATTATTAATAATGTAGTCAACAATATCAGAAGTATCTACAGAAACATCTGACAACAAGCTGTTATTATTTTGGTTATCATTATAAGTTGTATTCAGTTTTGGCTCTGCTTTCTCCCGCAAATGAACTTTTTGGTAGTCATACACGTATATACTACCATCCGCTAATACTGTCCGATCACTTTTTATCACATCTTCAGAATTGAAATGCAATTTTCATATATAATTGGTAGCTTTTAAATCTTGGTCAATAGCAGAACTCCACTTCTTGCGCATTTCAGCATCCTGTGGAAAAAATAATGACTTTGTTGAATCAACGACAAATAAGACTATAAATTTTTCAAGTATTATTTAACGCCAAAATTTATAAAACAAATATTTATTAACAACACTAATTCCCAGGACAATTTTAAGGTTACTTACTTTGGGTACTTTAAATAAAGCCACTTTTCCTATATTTCCATTTGCCTTTCTGCCACTAAGGCACAGAACCTTGAAGGTGGTAGTGGAAACGTCAATTACTTATCGACATTGTAAGGAATTATTAGGTATTAGGGGCCCATGATATGAGGCGTTAAGAGTTACCGATAGATTCCAGACCGATAGTCTAGGATTTGAAGGTCCGTATTCCTGCACGTGCAGTACTTGAAGATGACAAGATTGTATAATATGAATATAAAGATTTATATGCTTATAATATTTACCCCACTGTATAGATCTTACTCATGAAGAAAAGGAGTTGCTCTTTGGAGTGTTGTATTCGAAAGTCATGAAAGTGTATTGAATTGTATGTTACGTTAATATAGTATTCAAATGTAAGAAGACGAGTTTAATAAATAATAACTACAATCTGTAAGAAATTTAATAAAACAGCACAGTGTAAATCTGAAATAAAACTATTGTGATTGATGTAGGTTTCCTACTTGTAAATAATATAGAAAAATCTTTTTCGTGTTTTTTGAAGCCAGAACAATCGAGTTGTTTTGAAGCGGTGAACCTAACGTCCCTTAATAAAATTTGCTAGGTATATTGCACTGAAATATGATTTGCAAATTTGTATAACATTTGCTTTAAGAAGCATTTTCAATGAATGAATTCATTCGCCATAATAAAAATTTTATCGCCTGTCTATTACAAAACTTACTGGACCATATTTTCATTTGTTGTAAAATGATGTAATTAAGCTGTGTATTTTAAATTGCATTGGGTGCATAATACGAAGGAGTTGCATTTCCGAAACAGCATTCGTAATGAAGTTCATGGTCACAGACATGAGTCATCTTTAGGTTTAATGAAAAACATTACAGTTCCCCCGTTATACTGCTGATAATGTAAACGTTCATGTAAGGTCTACTGTTGCATTCGTGCGTGCATCACTTGACCATTTTTTTTGGCTCAAAATGGGACTTTGTATTGTTAAAAAAAGTTTTATCACACTATGAAGTTACAAATTAATGAATATTCATCAATACATCCCATTTCCAATCAATATGTTCAATACTTTACGGACGTCTGTCCATCGTATTCGCGACTTGTTTTTAAAATTTGTTAGCCGTACTTTTCGCAAATTCTTCATCAATATCGTTAACATTGGCTTTCAATTTCGCCAATAAACTACGAATTGTCAAAGGAAGAAACCGATTTCTATTCCAGCTTCAACGTTCATAAAGTTTCACTTTCGACATCGGAAGACAAACTTTCAATAGATCTTATTGAATATTTGTCGACGATAATTTGAAAATTAAAAGCCACCATTCTGGTAGGCCATTTTGAAAAAAGTTTTATGATAATTATTTATTTATTATTTCGAACGGTGGTCCGTAGACAAGTTTTTCACACTTTTTCGAAAAACTGGACGTTTTTGCGTTCAGGAGTTACCTTTGGGGACAACGGGATACACAACCGAAAAACCGGACAACTGATTCAAGATTTTGATAAGTTTTAATTGTCACTATATGCAAAATGGAAGATTAAGGTGGAAAATTATTTCTTTTAACCTATCGTATATAATAATACAAATATTTAACTGTAATATTTATTATGAAATCACAGAATTATCACGAAAGTAAAAGCACTGTTATAAATAAAGAACTATAATTATAGCAACAAGTAGTACATTATAATTTAATTTATCAAGACAAAAAATTATTTGAAATCTATCATATATAATGATATAAATATTCAACTATAACATTCATTATGAAATCTTAGAATTTATTATCACGAAAGTAAAATCACTATTATAAAGAATCATTATTATAAAGAACTATAATTATAGCAACAGGTATTACATTATACTTTTATTTGTTGATTTATTAAGAAAAAAAATTATTTGAAATCTATCATATATAATAATATAAATAATTAACTGTAGCATTTATTATGAAGTCACAGGATTAATTATTTCTAAAGTAAAATTACTTATTATAATATAATTTAATTTAATTAAGATTTAAATATATAAATATATATATATATATATATATATATATATATATATATATATATATATATATATATATATATATAATAACAAGTAGTACATTATACTTTTATTTATTGATTTATTAAGACAAAAAATTATTTGAAATCTATCATATACATATAATAATATAAATATTTAACTATAACATTTATTATGAAATCACAGGATTAATTATCACGAAAGTAAAATCACTGTTATTATAAAGAACTATAATTATAGTAACAGGTATTACATTATATTTATATCACGTTATAAGTATTACTCAGTGCAACTGGATAAGCAGGATAAAGCATGGTGGTACAAGTTGTAGCTTGTTGCACAGCGCATATTGAAAGAAAAAACGATAAATTCGGTACAGACTGCTCGAAATTTTATATTGTAATCCATATGCGCCAGAGATGATTGGCATTTCTGTATCTATTTGGTACTATAATATTATATTTCTGTACGAATGTTAACAAAAATATTTTATCAATACATATGGATTTTACTTGCGTAAGAAAAATTAAATTTTTACTATTTATTATATATTTTACCACCTAATTATTTATATTTTAATAAAAATATGGTATATTGTATCGATATCACGGGCCGTATTTACAAGTTGGCGGGCTGCACTTTGAGGAACTCTAGTCTTAATATTAAAATGTTTTTATTCAGACATCTTTATATTTTCGCGGTAGTATTTAATTGAGTCTAAATTTCTTAATCTAATATTAGAAAAGACAGATTTCAACTTTTAATTTAAGTCAGGGTCGAAGTTGAGGGGTCGATCATTAATCACGTTATAATTTGTATCAACTTTTTAACTCCGTTTCTCACCTTGATATGTGATATGTGAGACTAACTCTCCCATATACAAAAATCACGTGTATTTTAGTACAAACTATCGAAACTTTCAGGATATTATATTATTTAATTTGAATAGTAATAGCTATATTCTGATTAAATTTAGGGAAATTGAGTGTAGGTAGTGATAAATGTCCAGACAAACATTAAAGTTGAAGATTATTTTAGACTTTGATAAAAATAATAAAGAAAGTGTAAAAAATTATATTTGGGATCCACGTTACAAGGAGTTTAGGGTTACCGATAGTTTGTTTAGTCTAGGACAGGGTAGGCGAACCTTTATGCATCATTGTGCCATTTTTTCTGAAAAATGTTTAATGGGGCCATTGCCGTGCCATCAATAACTTTGACTTTCAGATTATTTGGAAAATAATAATAATAAATACTATCTTAACTCTTTATTAAATAAAGTAAACAAAAGAGTTAAATTTTGGAATGATTAATACCTACTTAAAACATTTCTTACACATGTTTTATGATCGGTGACGTGCCTAAAATATTGTGTCGCGTGCCATCAATGGCACGCGTGCCATTGGTTCGCCTTCCCTGGTCTAGGATTTCATGTGAATCAGATGTGAAAAGAAGTGTTCAATAAATTATATTCACTACAAAAGGTGTAAAAAAATGTGTATTTACATGAATATATTCAACTTATTTTCGTTAAAAGAAATTCGTAATATTTTTTTGAAAATTCATTCAAAAAAGCTCATTCAAATAGATAATCAGGTCTTCCGATTGAAGATATTGACAATAATAAAGATGTGGTTAGCCGTTCTCCGTAGTTTAGTCGGTAGAACATCCGACTATGGTGCGGTAGGACTCGGGTTCAAACCCCGGTGAAGGCATGAGGGTGTTTGTCTTAAGTTGAGAAGTTTAAATAATGATGTATGCTGGGGAATGTACATTCATTGCAAACCCAATGGTCGTTCCGAACCGGCGTTATACTGTAGGTCCACTGAATTAAATAAAAAGATGTGGTATTTTATGAAATAAGTAACAGCTATTCCAACGGGTACCTAGTAACTCCTAAAAAAAATAAAAATTGTTGTAAAATTTTGAAAAGGCGGCTACGATATTGAGATTAGAATATAAAAATTCAACTTGGGAAAAAGTGAATTGATAGAACTTAGAGTGAATTGAAGTACTTGATTATGCATTATACACATGTTCATATTAAAAACACAAACGTTACTTTACTGCTGTTGACAAAAGTCAACTTTGTAATTATTAATGTAATATTCACGAAGTTGACTTGTTATTTACGAAGTTGTGATAAATTGATTTTTCTAAAGTACATAGGTATGGTTGTGTGTTTAAACCATATACACTTATACCACATTACGCATAATATGCGGTATAGGTGTTTATGAGGTTATTATTTTAATTTCATTTATTCACGCTGCCATTGGTTTCTCCGGTCTTGACCTCGCTGTTAATGAACTTTTTGGTCTAGAACTTAGTTGTTTAATTTATGCACTAAGGCACTTCCAGAGTTGTTGACGTATTTTCGGTTGCGATAGAAATGTGTTATACGAGGGCGATTTTAAATGTTTCTGGCCTATTGGTGTTGCTTGTCTTCAATTCAATGCTCTTTGTTTAACGTTTATTTAATAAATCGACTCTGTCCCTGTAGTGCGCTTTTGGTAAATGTCCATTTGTTACTGGTTTCATTTCTTCATTCAAGAAAAACCTTTGTCCTTACTCAAATTTCTTTGGTATAGTGAGCATGAATTATTATTTTTACACCAATTCACTTTTTATTGTAATAAGTTTCGTTATACATTTTCGGAAAAACATTCTTGAAAAATTGCGATTTGCACAAGGAGAGGAAGAATATAATCGTATTCTTTGTAAAATAAGATCGGTTATTCAGTGTTCGAGTGGAATCTGCCTGACGATAGTCGGTGACCGAGACAATAATAATAATGATTATTCAGGAGAAGCTTTACAAAAAGTCACATACATATTTTTGTCACATAATGAAAGATATATAAATTAAACATAAAAGTCACATACATAAATAAAAAAAAAATTGGATTACATATAATGGGTGATTTTTTAAGCGTAGTTTTTTTTAATCGAATAAAACACTCAATTTACATCATATATTCAAAATTTTTATTGAAATTAATAACTTGGCCTTTGCCATTTACATTTTAAAGATAACTTCATGTAAATGTTGTCCGCGGCTCCGTATCAAATAGTCCATTCGGAAGGTCCAATTTTGTGTCACTTTTTCGAGCATTTCGGCCTGTATCCCACGAATTACGCGTGTTGTGTTATCCTGCAAGGCTTCAATCGTGTTCGACTTGTCCACATATACTAACGACTTAACATAACACCACAAGAAATAATCCAGAGGCGTCAAATCACATGATCTTGGCCACCAATTCACAAGGTCAATTCGAGAGATGAGCTGCTTACCAAATTTATCCTTCAACATGTCCATTGTTTCACGAGCTGTGTGCCATGTGGCACCGTCTTGATGAAACCACATGTCAACCAAGTTCAACTCGGCCAACTGGGGCAAAAAATTGCGTATCATAGCTCGATATCGTTCGCCGTTGACGGTAACGTTTCTTCCACGGTCGTCTTTGAAGAAAAATGGACCGATGATGCCATCAGCCCATAAACCACACCAAACTGCCGTTTTTTCGGGATGCATCGGTAATTCTTGTATGGCATGTGGCTGTTTATCACTCCAGATGCGACAGTTTTGTTTATTTACATATCCGTTAAGCCAGAAATGAGCCTCATCGCTGAACACAATTTTTCTATAAAACAGCGGATTTTAATTAAGCTGTTCAAAGGCCCATTCACAAAAATTAGACGTTGTGGTAGGTCATTCGGCTTCAATTCTTGCAGAAGTTGAATTTTTAGGCTTTCAAACCCAAATCAACACGTAAAATTTTCCATGTGGTTGAGTAACACATGCCCAATTGCTGAGAACAACAACGAATTTACATTTCACGATCCTCATTAACACTGTACGATACGGCTGCAATATTGTCTTCAGTACGCACTGTACGCATGCAAGACAATGGTTTAATGCCCAACAAAGCAAACTTTGTGCGAAATTTGGTGATGACAGCACGAATTGTTGATTTACCAGGTCGATTATGACGACCATAATATGGTCGTGACAAACGATACACATTTTTCACAGAGCACGAATTGATAGTAAATTTCAACAGTTTACAATCGTTGCTCGTTTGTAAGTCTTTTCATGATGAAATGGCAGAGTATACTGAAAACTTTTCACATTGACAGATGACGTTTGTATGCCATTACCAACCAGTTCCGCCAACCTGAAAAACTTAACTCTTAAAATCCCCCTATATACTCGTAAGATATACTTTTTCAAATTACGCATAAATATTTTAACACTAGTACTAGCTTTCATAATGCTTGGTATATTTTGAGAGCATTAAATCCTTCAGAGTATATACTATTTTTATAAATGAAAGTCTACAACTTCGGATATAAAAACTATATTGCAGTAGCAGTAAAATATTCATGTAGTTTTCGTATAATAAACGATGTGTTTTATTACAAATTGATTTAAATTTTTCGTTCGTTCCATAGTTACAATTTCCATTATTTACTTAACATTTTCGTTTTTATTATAAATTTTCATAAGGCAATTCAAACAGTTGAATTTGATTTACACTTTTATTGTCATAACGTGACACGTTTCGTCGGAATAACCGACTTCTTCAGACGTTTACAGAATGTGATTTAAGTGTTCAAATTATCCTATAGTTATAATGGATTTGCTCCAAGTAAATGCCAATACTGTTCAATGTAAGTTATTTTTTGAAATTTACTGAAATGTCATTTGTTATATCCAAGATTATAAATGCAATTATTCTATCCGAACCTGATCGATTATATCTCATAAAACTGATGGTTGATCCTTCTAAAGCAAATAACATGATGTCCATTTTTGAGTACAGGGGTGCATGGACTTCAGAAAGAAGTAAACAATTTTCCCAATCATTTGAAGAATTATCATTTTCGCAAAAAAGATTAAGCAATCTTAAATGATATAAGTGGTTTAAATAAGTTGATTATGTACGTGTTATAGATATTGGCCAACGCAAAAATTATCAGCAATGAGTTATTCGATAAAATGTCATCAAGCGACACTCTAGAGATCCGAGGCAATTAAGTAGGAGTAAGATTTATTTATTACCACAAAATGTATTATACTCTCCAAAGTCCATATATGTATTCCGCGAGATATACTAGAAACGGAAATACAAAATAATTGCATATAAACTCAACCTCAGCGATAACAAACTGGTAGTATGATCATCCTATATTAGTGTTGCAACGGAACTGGCATAACGGAAGCAGAAACGGAAACAGATGTCAAAAGTAAATCTTAACAGAAGCGGAAACGTAAACGGAAGCGTTAACACTATGAAAAAAATCACAATTTCGCATTTTAATTTTTTTTATTAAATTTGTACTTTAATACTTACTTTAATAATATTTAATATTAAAAATTAAAAAGTGGCAAGTTATATTTTATGAAGAGTAACTTGGCCGCTTTTTCGCCTTTAAGCCTATTTCTATGTTCGTCATAAATTAAACCAGCTCCGCTGAATAATTGTTCGCTGGATACACTGCTGGGAGGAGCTGATAAATATTGGCGTACAATTGGTAAAATGAGGGGGTATTTGTGCGCATTACCACTCCACCAATTAAGGGGATCCTCATGAAGAGGCAGTCTTGTTTCTTTTTTGTATTCCCGAAGGTGTGACTGTATTTTTGAATGTAAATTGTCACCATCGTCATCGGCTGTAGAGTCCTCCTGGTCTTCATTAACACATAACATCGATTCCAGTATTTGCAAAGAAGCTGAAGATTTGGAAGTAGAAGGCTGCACTTCAATGTCTTCAATTGCAATTTGAGTTCGGCTTCTTTTGGGGGAAGGTACGCAGTCATCATCTTGGTTGGAATTTGATTGTCTGGTTCTAATAGTGTTCATGTTAATGTTAATGCTGCACCGCTCGTCATCGCTCTCTTCCCGCTTCCGTTCTGAGTTCTGTTATAACGTTTGCGGAACCAGAAGCAGAAACGGAAGTGAAAAATCATGCGAAACTTCCGCAGTTGCGGAAACGGAAACAGAGTTCTGTTGCAACACTATCCTATATAAAAGAATTATTCTAAGAATTAGATTTAATGCAGGCAAACTAAAATTAAGTAAAAGAAACTTACGTTGAAAACCTACACATTTTTCTATATAACAGCCGTTTACATATGTTTCAAGGTTATTGCCTATCGTCAGAACGGCGTAGTTCAAGTTAAAGATGAAAGTACTTGAAGAGATATATAAAAAATCAATATATAAAACACGAAACACAGTTTCGTACACGTTTTATACTCCCAAAACATATTGGGAAGAGTCAACACAACGGACGGTATTTCATTGTCGTCTGCAACGTTGTGTTGACTCTTCCCAATATGTTTTGGGAGTATAAAACGTGTACGAAACTGTGTTTCGTGTTTTATATATTGATTTTTTATATATCTCTTCAAGTACTTTCATCTTTAACTTGAACTACGCCGTTCTGACGATAGGCAATAACCTTGAAACATATGTAAACGGCTGTTATATAGAAAAATGTGTAGGTTTTCAACGTAAGTTTCTTTTACTTAATTTTAGTTTGCCTGCATTAAATCTAATTCTTAGAATAATTCTCTTATCATTAAGATTGTCTGGGATTTCCAGAAGCTATAAAAGTCTCACAATAGCCGGACGGTATTTCATTGTCGTCTGCAACGTTGTGTTGACTCTTCCCAATATGTTTTGGGTGTATAAAACGTGTACGAAACT